TACAGACAAAGAAAGGTGCACAAAATACAGTTGCATCATTATGACTCGATAGGTGTGATGTAAACATCTCTTCTTCCTCACCGTCTCCACAAACACACACACGCATACGTATGCACGTACACTTTTGAACAATGAAGCTCGTCACTCGGACTCGTACAAGCTACCAAAGCGTGCACCAAATCCGGTTCATCTCTTAACCTTTACGCAACAAAAATAAAAATGATACTAAAGAGCGTGAGTTCCGTTTTCGAATTTTCTGAACAAATTTTCAGTTCCAATTGCAGACAACAACGAAAATCGGACTATGTAGTCATATAGCCAAGAGAAAAGCAAGCAAACAAGCGCACGCACACACACACACACACACACACACACACACAAACAAACAACCACACGCGCGCGCACGTAACTGTCTAACCAATTACAAGAAATGAGCTGTAAACAATATCACGTGTACCTTTCTACGCCGGTCAGCTGGAGTTGTCGAAGATCTTAAATTGGCACAGTGTAATAGAGGCCATAAATAATCACTCCAAAAATAGTTGATAACGAAACAAACTTTTTCATTAAAATTTTTGGAAAATGTCTATTTTGTCATGCATATTAATAATAATTATTATATAGTAGAGAAATTTTTGGGGAAAATAAGCTTGAACAGTTCATGTAGATAAACTTTCAAAGACAGTTACAATCAAAATGATATAATACCTTATGTTCTAGCAGCCCTATAAAATCGAGCTATATTTCGAGGTAGTGGTGTTAACTCCGATTAAAAAAATCTACAATAACAAAAGTAACTGTGGTACTGTCACAGGTTTAATCGCCTATTTACTGTGTCATCTTGCCATAACCACGTTTAGGCTCGAAGTGGGTCATAATAGATGCGTCCGTCTGCAAAATACGTTTTGTTTTGTTTCCACGTTTGTTTCTTTTTTTCTTTGCAGCTTTGCTTATAGACTACTCTTAGGCAGTGTTCACGTAGTTATAGCTCAGATAATCAAGGCCTTTGTTGTACCTTGGTATGATATACACCGACTTGAGGAACTGCTGTTTTCCAACACTGGTAGAAGTCATGTTTTGTAAGCACGGAACATATGCTGAAAACAGCATATACGCCCATGTTATATTAGGATACTGATTTTCACAGAACTAAATGGTAGCGAGTATAATTATAAACAGATGGCATAATAGCTGGTGGTGTACCTATAATATCTACACAGCTATATACGAGATACATGTAATCACGTGTATAAACAATGAAAAGTTGACATTTGTTACCAGTGCCCCAAAATGACCCATCCCATTCCTTTTCTCAGTTGTTTCCATGTTTTGTTGACTTCAGTATTTATTGTTTAACAGAACCTGTTATTTTTTTTTCCATCGGAATTGTGAACTAATGAAAATTCGATTAACTAGAATTTATCTCGAACGGTAACGTTATAAACTTCGTGTTTAACATACAAATGGGTGCCTTCTCAAATACAATATCTAGTTCAATATGACAAATATCTTTCTTGAACTGCCCGAAGCCGAATATTCAAATTAGCGCGCGCACGCAATCTACGAGACCAATTGAGAACGAAATAAACAAGTTCTATCATAGGTGTGCAACCTTCACACACACACACACACACACACACACACACACACACACACACACACACACACCGCCCCAAATAAAAAATGTAAAACAATGACGAAGAACCTATAAATAATAATGTACGCTACACGCTGAGTATTTTCTAGATGTCTGAAGGCAAATGTCCTTTCAAATATATTGCTTAGAGAAACGCATGTGCAGTTCATACAAACGACTTCTGAAGATAACTAACTGAGGAACACACAAAATTATTGGGACAAATATTACTCGTTCTATATGTAGACCCGTAATGGCCCTGCCTAAATTACGTAAAGCCACGTTGGCTCAGCCCTTAGCGTGCCGAAGTCAAGGCAGTGTGAAAGATCACAGGAAACATGAACAGTTAAATTTGCTCATGAAATGCACGGGAGAAATTGGGGTCCAATAAGGAAAATAAGAAAGTTAAAGAACTAGAGACATTTTTCAAGACAAAGAGGATAGAGACAAGAGAAGGACCGTTCATTGAAAGATCACACAGAGAAGGGACACAATAACTGAATATGCCATAAATACCACGCGAAAGAGTACCAGGAATAACGGCAGTGATGATAGCACTGAAGGTTCAAAACCCAGAATACATACAAAAAAAAAAAAAAAATGTGTCCCCACAACCTACACGGGTACAAAGATTCCATATTGCGACTCTGTGGAACCCAACCGATATTACCATTCGGGGAAATAATTATTGCAGGAGAGACGGTCACAGTTAAGAAACCCACTCCCATCTTGCGGAAAATAAAATAAAATTTAAATTAAAAAAAAAACTGGAGGGCTACATCTATCTGACATCCCACTTGAGATACCATTACAAGAAACGGCAGAAAAGTTTGAGAAGAATCCAACATAAAAGTGATAGCATCAAGATTAGCAACTATTCCCTTGACCACAATATACAATGGCATTAATATAATGGAGAATGAGAGACGTGAAAAGAGCATTCTTTCTACATGGGTTTTTGACAGAATCATGGTATGAGGGAAATATCTATCATAGAACATGTAAAAAAAAAGTGGACATACTGGGCATACTCCACACAAATGCTTTAAAAAATCAGAGACCCCAGCAGAGACCAGAGAAGTAAATAAAGGACAGAAAGTAACGATGACGAAACAACAACAACAACATCCAAAACAACAGTCCGGAAAATAGCAACAAGAAGAAAAATTAAAACCCAAAACAACACGAAGGACAAAACAAAAATCAACAACAACAACAACAACAAGAAAAACAGAAACCAGAAGAACAACAAAGATAGAAACGAATCAGAAACAAGCAAAAGGGCAAGAGAACAAATAGCAGGGAAAAATAAATCACAAACGACAAAGGTAGATACCAACCACAGACAATCAAAAGTGCAAAAACAAAAACAAACAAAAACCAACAAATAACCGGGAAAACAAAATCAGCAAGACAAAAGACAAGCATCACAAACATATTTAACAACCAAAATAAAGACAAAAACAACATAATCATCATAAATTTACTCGACAGTAACAGCAACAGAAGAAATAAAACAAAAAGGTACGGATTTAGAAGGAGAGCTAAAAGGGGGCAAAGAAGAGAGGGGGAATATAAAATGATGGAAGTGTACCAACTCTATGGTGATGAATGTTTGGAATATTTGGAAAATTAGAACAAAAAAGAAAAGGGATAAAGGACAATGAACACGTAATGACAAGCTAACCATAAAGGAAGAAGAAGAAGAAGAAAAAAAAAAGAAAACACAAATACTATAACACAATTAGTACCATAATGCTATTAGGGAATTATATTGTCAGGGCAGAAGGGGGCGCTCCCTAAATGAGTTGGAAAGATTAACGAGGAAGAGTACCCCTTCTCCCCCCAAAAATTACAAAAAAATAAGGAACATCCGTCATCTCCGATTGGCAAGGGAATTTACTCTGTGTGTGTGTGTGTGTGTGTGTGTGTGTGTGTGTGTGTGTGTGTGTGTAAGAGAGAGATTATTAAATTAACTTTAAAAATTTAAGTCACATCGCTATGATGTCTACAGTGTGGCAGTTTATAATGATGTCTAGCACTTGACGTTATGCCACAGATATATAGCATGATGTCCCATGACATATGGGCGAGTAGGGCAAGAGCTGTTTAAGGAACTAGCCTTCGAAGTTTACTAACACATCATATGTCAGCGTCGGTTCGAATCTCGATCTCAGACAGCGTGGGTATGTGAGAAAGCTTGCCAAAAGTTTCCCGTGTTTTGGTTCTTCCCGGGTTTTTGTCTTCCACTAGATATAATGGTCGTTATGTATAAATATCATTTGTTTAAACCCAAAAAACAACAGCAAAATTGTTGTTGTTTTGTCCTAATAAGACAAGACTTTAATTCTTAATGTCTCAAATAAAACAATTCGAATTTGAAAAACAATATAATAACATCTCACTGTTATGTTGAATATTATTTCAGCAATTTAAAGCATTTAGTCTCTGATAAAGTAAAAAAAAAAAAAAGAATGATATAAAATTTCAATGTATTATGTCAAAATTATACATTACGGTCCATTCTTTTTCGGGGAAGGAGATCCTGCAAAATTGTACATACTTTTTTTTTTTAAAAAAAAAAATATTCCTTAATGGTGAGGTGACGGCTGTGCGGTTCTCTCCTTTACAAATGATTATTATCTCACCTATGTCCACGTGGTTTTGAGTCCCTGCTGGAAAACTTGTGCATACAAATGAAAAACATTGTCTTTGAGTTTTTTTTGAGTCGGCGGTTGTTCTCGGGTTCTTCTGGGTTGAGAGAGAGAGAGAGAGAGAGAGAGAGAGAGAGAGAGAGAGAGAGAGAGAGAGAGAGAGAGAGAGAGAGAGAGAGAGAGAGAGAGGGTGTGTTTACTCGGTACATTGCCAAGAAATCGCCAAATGTTCTGTAAATAACTGCGTGGCACTTTTTAATATTTTAAATTTACTAGGTAGATATAAATTGTAATATATACAATTTTGACAATATTTCTGGATATAAAACGAATAAAAAATTATATTTAATAAATGAAGTTTTGTTTTGTCCTAGATAAAATATAGCATATTTTCTAATAATAAAAAAGTCTGATATCGAAAACTACATTAAAGCTCTGATACAAAATATTGTTTTATAATAGAAAGTGTGTGTGTGTCATTAAATTTTTTTAACGTAGATTTAACAGTTTTTCAGTCATATCGCTACGACGTCTGCAGTGTGACAGTTTATACTGATGTCTAACACTGGGGTATCATGCTGCATACATGTATCATAATGTCCCACTCAGTCACATTATCATGACACCAGGCCGACCAGTCCTAACACTAACCCCTTAATGCTGAACGCCAAGCGAAGCAGCTGTTAGTACCATTTTTAAAGTCTTTGGTATGACTCGGCCGAGGATCAAACCCGCAACCTCCCGCATCCAAAGCGGGCGCTCTAACCTCTAGGCCACCGAAACGGTTTTAAAATTTAAAAAAATAATAGAAAAAAAACATACGAATGATGATCGTCATTCTTTATATCAATACTTTATTTTGCTATGACCGAAATATCATTAACATATGAAGCATAGAATCTTTTGGTTATTGTCATTGATACTGTTTATAATGTTGTTGCTTTCCAATAAAGATACTGATGAAGGCCTTTCTTCCTACAAACGTATGCTTTGCGATGTTGACTCAGATTCATCACTATATGCATAGTTTAGGAAACAGATTTTATATTATTCTAAACATAAATTTGAAACAAAGAAGAAATTTAAATTTAATTTTAGTGTTATTTTTATTTATTAATTTATTGAACTGGATATCTAAATGAGTATAGTGTTGTGATTTATTCCTTAAACTGTCCTTCCATCCACCCTTCACCGTCCCACAAACTAAGTCATTAAATCGATTTGTGTACATTTACCAACCTAAAATTCGATCAAACACCGTCATTTTGATTCCACGGGACTCACGGTATTAATTCAGTTCCCATAATAATAAATAAATAAATAATAAACCTATGCAAAGATCTTGATATTAAAAATTAAATAACTTAAAATTTCTTAGAGATCATTATCAAACCTATATTTATCAGCATACATGAAATCTGGATGTCAGCTTATGTTTTGAGGAAAAGGATATGAACCGCGGCATTTTCTGGACCTGCATGTGCTTCAAACGCGTGCTTTCAATTCCGCATCAAAGAGGCATTTGCTAATTTTAGTAAAGTGTTCCAAACTCAATAAAGTGATAAAGGACTGAAATTTCGTCAATAAAACAATGTCTCCTTTGTTTAATTACGACTAGTTTAAACTCTCTAAAGAGTATTTTTCCTAAAACATAATTTACAATATTAACTAATCCTGACCACCCTCGTTCATCAATATTCTATTTTCCATTTCCAGGCTGGTTACCATTTTCTCATATAATCAGTACCGTGTGTCCAACAGTACGATCGGTTTTAGATGAAACGCAGAAACGAACAACATGAGAAGAAGACAGGATTTTATGTGTGTGTGTGTGTGTGTGCGTGTGTGTGTGTGTGTGTGTGAGAGAGAGAGTGTGTGTGTGTGTCAGAGAGAGAGAGAGAGAGAGAGAGAGAGAGAGAGAGAGAGAGAGAGAGAGAGAGAGAGAGAGAGAGTGGACTGGCTTGACATTATCACTACCAATTCCACTGTCGCCACCACCAAAATCATGATCGTCGTAATAATAATAATAATAATAATAATAATAATAATAATAATAATAATAATAATAATAAGCATCTTCTTATAAATGCACAGCCTCCAGGCTACATTATATATATATATATATATATATATATATATATATATATATATATATATATATATATATAAATATATATATATATATATATATATATTATATATATATATATATATATTATATATATATATATATATATATATTATATATATATATATATATATATATATATATATATATATATATATATATATATATATATATATATATATATATATATATATATATATATATATATACACACACACACACACAGTGACGACAGAGATGTCCCCAAAATCAATGTCCCTACAACAGTACTACTTGAGATTGTCACGACTAAGATTGAGATGCGCCTGACATATCCAAGAGCACAAAATCAGAACGGATATCCGGATGATTTTCCTAAATCCCCAGGACATGCTCCCTGTTTGCAACCGGACATTTTTCTTTGGCTTACTCTTGAGATGTGTACCTTAAGAACCTGACTTTAAGCTACCGATGGTTATTAGAACGGTATAATTACTCCCCGGAAAAGTGAATAACGGTAGATTAAGCGTCTACTGGTACTTTGGTAAAGGCTATTATGAACTTAGGACACCTGCCACTCAGCCAAAGGCTCGCGTAAGTGTGTTTGTTATTCGGTTCCTATACTTTGTTTGTTTGGGCCGCCGATGGTCAAGTCGTCTTAGATTATAAACAGATTATTGACATCTTACCACTGACCGTGTGGGTTTTAGTCACCGGCCTGGCCTGCGCGTCTATGATATAAAGCTTGGCAGTAGCTTCCCGTGGCCGTGCTTATCCCTTAAACAAAATATACTGGCTACCATATCATATGTCGGAAAAAAGGCCGTTAAATCGACAACAACCAAACAACCTTGTTAGTTCTTTATTCGTATCATCTTAACAGAAAAAGACTTGTACAAGTGTATGGACAATATAAAGTTTTATTATTATGAGTTTAGCATGTATTTATTAAGTACAGCATGCTAAATGAAAACTGAGAAAGACTTTGTTTAATCTCTCTTGAATTTTGTTTAATTGTTGGTTCTTATTGCTGCAAATTAACAAGCGCGAATTCAAAGCAGAGAGAGAGAGAGAGAGAGAGAGAGAGAGAGAGAGAGAGAGAGAGAGATCCACATTCGCCGAATCCTAGACTCGAACCCACGCCGACAGAGGTGAGATGGCAGTGATCCGTAACGGACAGCGCTTTAGACCACTCGGGGCCCCTACTTTTTTATTGTTTAAGAGAAAGAATACAAAATTCGAGATATTGTTGGGGTGTCCGGCAAATGTTCAATACGGTAATAGAATTTAGATCTATTCCTTGGGCTGAGTTTGGGGATAAGAACATTTTTCGTATATAGGTTTTGGGGTAATTGAAAATTGCACATGTAACACAAGAATAACTGTAGATTTAAAATGAGTGCATTTAGCGCACAATTTTAATCGTTATTTGAATGTACTACCTCATTAAAAAGTGAAATTAAAAATATTTATTTATTTATTTGTTTATTTATGATGTGTTGAGCTGATATTATGTAAATACTATTTTTAAAATCTAAAACACGACTGATTTAATCAGATGTGGGAGGAGTGTTTGGCAGAAAGGCGGAAGAGGTTTGTGTTGCCGGTAGATGCGACATTTAATCGGAACATCACTCCTCGTCTCATTCCGTAAATCAGAAAGAGACTCAGATAGATTTCGATAAAATCACGGTAAAATGTTTGCCGGAGATAAAGAGTGACTTCCTTAAGCGAGTATTTGCATTACATCATATTTCATAGTTAGGAATATAGCGGATGAATTCTCGAAAGAAGTGCGGAAAGGTAATTTTTCAGAATGGTGATGATAGAGTGGTATTCTGATTGAATTTGATATAACGTGTTATAATAAGCGACGATGTCACAGGGTTTCATCCCAACAGTCGATGCAGCCAAATGTAATTTTTTAATATTACCACAGAATATTTTCATTTGAACAACCTTTATTATTTTTCCGAGACAAAAATATAATTCTGATCCATCGGAACATTTCTTGACCTTTTCCGTTAAGTCGAGAAAGAAGTCTGAGCCACCATTGAAATCGTTACTGTTTTTGTTCACATGGCACAATATGGCGACGGAAGAAGAAAAAGGTCATAACTGCATCTCTTTGGGCATTTTCTTGAAACGATCGAGCGATGTTCATATCGGCTTCAGATGTATGTAGACACACCATGCACTTTGTTCGCAAATAAGAAACCCCAGTCTATTCAGACTATCTAGGCTATTTCTACGATAATGCTGACTGAAATTTACCGAGAAGTCGCGAATGAGAGGACAGTTCGATGCATTCACGATTTCTCCATCAATCCTTGTTTTGTAAATAGCCGAGGTGGTCCGAAAGGCAAATATTAGCATACGTTCCAGATGTTGTCCGTTGGATTGACGTGGAAGTTGCGATTGACAATATTTTTACGACGTTACAGTTCCACTTTTATTCATTCTACATGATATTAAAAAAACTTAAATCGATTGCTCTTTATGTGCTTTTTTTTCGCCAGGATTTGCAAAATATAAAACAAATTGAAACTATGCATACAGATATTTAAATTATATATAAAATGAGCAATGAACGGGTACATCATTCTTAACCTCCAATTCAATTCACTGAGGTCAATTTTATCTCGCAGATATAGCCAAGGTGGTTCGAATGCAGATACATTTTTACCGCACTGTTTGCTTAAAGTCAGTCATAGATTTCTTAGATTTTGCTGTGGCTGATTTTCATGCAGAACTAGTCAATAAGCCCCAAAATGAAGCATCCAGAAGTCAGTTAATCTAGCGTTGTATATTGAATAATGACAAATCTGTAAAAAAAAAATTCAACATTTTCTCAAAAAGAGCCAGAACACAGGGTAAATTGTAATCAGATCTCTGTATCCACTTGTTTTCCTAACAGTACCTTATTTTTAAATTAGAATCCAACAATCACATAAGAGTATCTAAATTTATAATGTGTGTGTATGTATGTATATATATATATATATATATATATATATATATATATATATATATATATATATATATATATATATATATATATATATATATATATATATATATAATACAGCGCAAATTTCTTCATAAGGGGTTTGTGTACACACTGTTACGTTTTAGGCGGCAAAATACAGCGTAAATTTCTTCGTAAGGATTTGCATACACATTGTTACATTTTAGCCGGCGAAATACAGCGCACATTTCTTCGTAAGGTGTTTGTGTACACATTGTTACGTTTCAGCCAGCGAAATTCAGCGCAGATTTCGTCGTAATGGGTTTGTATACACTGTTACGTTTTAGCCGGCGAAATACAGCGCAAATTACTTCCTAAGGATTTGTTAACACATTGTTACGTTTTAGGCGGCAAAAAGAGCGCAATTTTCTTCGCAAGGATTTGCGTACACAAATACAGCACAGATTTTTCGTAAGGATTTGTGTACACATTGTTACGTTTCAGCCGGCGAAATACTGCGCAGATTTCTTCGTAAGGGGTTTGTGTACACACTGTTACGTTTTAGGCGGCGAAATACAGCTCAAATTTCTTCCTAAGAATTTGCGTACAGATTGTTACGTTTTAGCCATCGAAATACAGCGCAAATTTATTCGTAATGATTTGCGTACGTTGTTATGTTTCAGCGCAGGTTTCTTGACAATGGGTTGG